AAAAAATCTTAGCGCACATGCAAAAATCGTAGTACAGTGAGCTGACAGTAATATAGTTACTGTTGTAGACATTCACTTGAATGACATCTGTGTGTGAATCTGGGAGAACAGGTAATGTTTACTTGGTTAAAACATGCTCTTCTGATGCTATTGTTAAATATCATTACACTTTGCTATTGTTACTTGCTTACTGACCATCCTCACTAGACTCTGAGATCTTTGAGACCAGAGCTGTCTGTCTCTTGTACACGTCAGAACACATGATGCGCACAGTGCCTGCTGGGACATTGTTTCTGTGGCAGTGACCTGGGCAGGCTACATGAGCTCCCCATAGATGGCAAATAAGTTATAACAGGGGTTCGGATGCAAGAAAGACAAAAAAATAGGAGGTGCAAATAAAAGGGTTCCTCAATCCATTCCCTCGGATCACCATGAAGGTTGCAGGGCTAAAATATGAGTTGAAGTATGAGGTGATCAGAATGAAGGCCTCCGCATGTGGTGCTAGCTCTCTAGGACCCCAGGCACAGCCAGGCGGGTGAGAATAATTTCACCCAATAGTTCAGAAGGCAATTTATGTATATATGTATATGTGTTTATTTTTGAGAAAGAGAGCCCAAGCGGGGGAGAGGCAGAGAGAGAGGGAGACACAGAATCTGAAGCAGGCTCCAGACTCTGAGCTGTCAGCACAGAGTCTAATGCAGAGTTTGAACCCACAAATCATGAGATCATGATCTGAGCCAAAGTTGGACACTAAACCAACTGAGCCACACAGGCACCCCAGTTCAGAGGAAATTTTAATGCTTTAGATCTTTATGGTTCTTTTTTGGGGGGAATTTTAAGTGATTAATCTACATATAAGTAAAATTTTCTCCTATTTACTAAATTTACATTCAATTACATAAATGAATTAAAGTCATATAGGCAGCTTTTGATTAGTCCTATCAACTGAGCGGATTATTTGAGATACTCTAAAAACAATGTTTTGATCCATAAAACGGAGTTCTGTCCTCACCCTGACAATCATGGATCTGTCTGGTGCTAAGCAGATTTACAGCTTTTCAGAATAATGAAGAAATGTTGGCGATCGTAACAGCCCAATAAAGAGGGCACGCTCTGAGTGGGGAAGCTGGTGTGGGGACAGAAGGATATTGTTTGTGAAAGAAAGCCGTGCAGTGGAGCATCTGAGATTTGGTAATGTTTGGAGGTGTTGAAGTCAGCTTCTTAGCATTACCAAAAAATGGAGAAAGATTTTCCAGGCAGAGACTAACCTCCCAGTCAGTGTCAAAGGAAGCATGCTCTGGAACAGATTTGAGGGGATATTACGTTGCTCTCTCTCAATCCTGTCTTTCAGTAACACCAGCCGGTTTTTGCCAGATCACGCACACTGATAGGTGCGAATTTGAGTCCTTGCTGAGTAAGTCGGCCATACGTGTCTTTCCACAGAACGAAGAGGAAAAAGTCTCTTGCAACAGAAAGAACCAAGTCACGAAAGCCAGATTGTTAAAAAATGCTGATATAGATGTGGAGTCTCTTAAAGACTTCACCTCTAAGCTAGCACTATTTATTGCTTGTCTGTGGCAGAATTCACAAGGAACTCAAATGGAAATGGTACTTCTCTTGGAATAGAGTCTATATTTACTGACTTAAAAAACATGAAAATATATTGGAAATTAAGAATAAGTGAACCAGGTTTTTTTTTATTTAAAAAAAAATGTTTATTTTTGAGAAAGAGAGAGAGAGAGAGAATGAGCGGGGGAGGGGCAGAGAAAGGGAGACACAGAATCCAAAGCAGGCTCCAGGCTCTGAGCTGTCAGCACAGAGCCCGATGTGGGGGCTCAGACTCATGAACTGCACCAAATCAGATCATGACCTGAGCCAAAGTCAGACACTTAACTGAGCCACCCAGGCTCCCCGAACCAGTTTTTAATATAAGACAAACTCATGACTCTTGCAGAAGTTGCAGGATGGCTTAAATGAGTATAAAGACACAAGTGCCAACATTTGTCCTGCCTGGGCAATCTGTCCTCTGATTTGTGACGGTACTGTGTACATGTTTGCGTGCTCCTTTGGGTGATTTCACAGTGCCAAGCCCTGGTTTATGATTTCTATCACCGTCACCCCCAATTGACCACTATTAATAATTAGAGACTTATTTTTAATCAACCGTGGTACCCGGTGCTGGAATCCTATTTTAGAAAGCTAAATATTTTTTAAGAAAAACCTCAGTCTGCTCAGACTGTTGCTTCCGTGGGTATGTACACTAAGAGGAATACTAAGGCATAGTTTTATTCGGAGCAAAGGCAGCCTGAACTCTAATGGGAGGACCACGATAGAGAAAAACAGGAAGTACCATTAGACCGTAATCCCACAGTAATGTCCTCCAAGGAGAAATGTTCCGTGCGCTTACTTTTAGCTGTCCGCGGAGAAAGCATGAAGGTGGGCATCTGGGAGCAGCGTGCTGTGGGACTCACAGGTGTTTTAAAGAGGTCAGATGACCTGCATCTCACGACCTGGCAGGCAGTGTGCTGGTTTTATGTGCATAATCGTGTTCAAACATCATAAAAGAAGAACTGGTGTGGAAATCCAGGATATCCTTTTTAGATGGATTGTACGGTGTTCAACGAAGACATCTTTTATAAAACTGAATTTTGCACTCTTGGTCTGGCCAGCTTTTCTTCATCAGTGCTCTGCACCCCTGAGTCCTCTCGGGCCAGTGTTTCTGTGCAGGCGGGACGTGTTTCCATTGCCTCTGGTGGGAGCGGTTGGAGACGATTCTTGCATACTGGAGCATAATTAGTGCTCTGGAGCGGGATGAGTGCTTTCCCCTTGTTGTACTTGCTTCAGCCGTCACCTGGGTTTCCCAGAGAAGGCGGCATGGTAGTGAGGAGAGAAGGGACCACAGGACAGCATGTGATGTGTGCATCACCTCTTCCCAATAGCGAACACAGGCTGTGAAACTACCTCTGTAGCCGGGTCTGAACATGAGCAAGTGGACCGTGGCTTCCTGCTCTGTTAGTGTTGCTTCCTGCTTCCCCAAGCTGGTGGTCAAGGTCACTCTTCCACTAGCATTACTGCGACTCAGATCGCGGCAGAGGGCCTGCCCGAGCCCGGCTGGGAGTCCAGTCCTTGGTACGGCGCGTAGAAACAGACGAGGCAAAACTCAGGACGGGCGCAGGCGGTGGGTGCGTGCCCGCAGCTGTCAGTCGCGTGGCGTGGCCTCGAGACCTGCGCCTGGCCCTGCACCTGCTTCGGGGGGCCGGCTGGGGAGGGCGCCCTCCTCGGACCTGCCTTGCCCCTTCTCACCCTCGCCTCTTACTTTTGTCTCAGCTCTTCTCTCTGGATTCTGCGTGACCCAAAGAGGCCCCCTCCCACCTGGCCTTCATTTTATCCTGAAAAGCACCATTCGGTTGGGGATGGCATCCATCAGTTTTTGCCTTGCAGTGGAAGTCTGTGGGCCAAAAAATCTTGAGGATCACTTCTTCAATTTGGAAAAAAAACCTCTGTTCTTCAGAAAAAGGACAGGCAAGCAGGAGAACACAGAGCCCCTAACATTTTGGCTTACTTTTCTCATTCCTTACTTGTTTTTCTGGGTGAGTGTTCCTCCCCTAAAAGGATTGCCTCTGGCCCTCCACAGTAAGTGATTTCCTTTCTTGTTCTCTGTAGCATTATTTGTCCCTTTGTGTGGGGACTTTCCCCAGGGGCAGCTGCCTTGTTTATCTTTGCATTCGCTGGAGGCCTCAGCAGAGTTCTGTGACCAGACACAAGACTTTTTAGGGGCTCTGTAAAGAACCCCCCCCACCCCCTACTCTTCTAGGTTCTCAACTGAGACTCTATAGACTGACAAAAGACAGTTTAACAGGAGAAAGACAATCGGTCTACATGTGCATCGTGCATGCCTGTGGGAGCACCCTGTGATGAGTAACTCAGAGGGCCAGTTAGCACTTGGGCTGATGTGGGCTCTTAACGAAAGAACAGTAAGCTCACAGGTGACAAGACAGGGAAGGGGCCTCTGAGCTTCTCAGGCAGCAAAGTGCGGGAAGGCACATCTATGGAGGAACTAACCGGAGATCTGGCTAGTCAGTCAGGTGTCCTGATGACCCCCGGGTGGTGTGAGTGGATCAGCGTGTACTGTTGTCTCTGCTGATTGACTTCTGTCCTTCCTGGTAGGAGGGGTGGGGGCCACACCTTTACAAATTTACATCCTGCTTTTAGGCAAATGGGGAAGGGCAGAGAGCTTTTCTTGTATCTTCTCAGTCGCCTTCAACTCAAAATAACCCTCATGGCCGAGTGGCCTCTTTGGAGATGGCGCGTTCTGCTGATCTTCAACACCTTGTACAAGATTTGCAAATAGATGTTTATGAAATGGAATTAAATTGAAAGCAAAGGCAACCTTCCATTTTCTAACTGGAGTCTGTCTGAATAATTTACCCTGAGTCGGGTGCCAGGGGGGGCTCAGTCGGTGAAACGTCCAACCTCGGCTCAGGTCGTGATCTTGTGGTTTGTGGGTTCGAGCCCCACATTGGGCTCTCTGCTGTCTGCACGGGGGCCCACTTTAGATCCTCTGTCTCCTTCTCTGTCTGTCCCTCCCCCGCTTGTGCGCGCCCTCTCTCTCTCAAAAATAAATGAACATTAAAAAATGAAATAAAATTTATCCCATGCAGCAGAACAAATAGATGGAAAGCTCTGTGAGCCTGAGAGCCCAGAGGAAAGATACTGGTTGAGTCAGGAGGCCTGGGCTCGGCTTTGCCTCTTTGCCTTTGTCTCGCCTGCAGGAATCACTTCCTCTTCCTTTGGGGAGGGTGGGGAGATACAATCAAGTGAAGGCCGGAAAAATACTTTTGAGTTTAGAGCATTATGCAGATACATGGTGTTATCGGTTCCTCTACAAGCACCAGTGGCAATTTCTGATGAGCAGTTAGTAAAGGTTGGCTCGTTAGTTTGAAATACTGTTTCCTCCCCAAAGAAGTGAGCCGTAATGCGTGTGTGATGCTTCCTCACAGGTATGAATTAGGAGCCGCTCTGTTTATTGGATGGGCGGGAGCCTCACTCTGCATAATTGGCGGTGTCATATTTTGCTTTTCAATATCTGACAACAACAAAACACCCAGGTATGAAAAAGAGATAAAAATGACCTGTTAAACTTATTACAGGTGCAGTAGATTCTAGATCGTTCACACGATTCTTAGAAACATCGAAAAACAAAACACAACAAAAAAGAAACTTCAAAAAACTAGAATTGGCCGAAGTTAGGAATATATGGTGAATATAATATTCAATACAATAAATATATTGAATAAATACATTCTTTGTTAAAGTTAATTTAAAAAAAAACAGAGCTCATCATTCTTACATTCCAAAGCTATTTCTGTAAGCAGAAAGATGGGTCTTACGAAGGGGTGTATTCTTCACCTTGACCTCGTTTTCACACAGGCAGAAATTCCTGGTTAAGGTCACTGCAGTCCCCCAGGGTCCAGGAAGAAGAGTTTTAAAAGAGAAAAACAACACATGCACAAGCCATGAGTTTCCCCTGCTGAGATTCCCATAGTCCCACTAACTGGTCAGAAATGGCAGTGAAATGTTTGGGGGTGCAAGAGAGAATGCTGGCTACAAGTAATCAGGGAGGGGCTGAAGCGTGGCTGGCCCAGGAGATGGGGAGATGGTTTCTGCCCTCCTTGTAAAAAATGGGACCTACTGAACTGTGTTTTGCCTTGCAGAATGGGATACGCATACAACGGGGCCACATCTGTCATGTCTTCTCGGACAAAGCATCCTGGGGCAGGAGGAGATCTTAAAGCCACAAACCCTTCAAAACAGTTTGATAAAAATGCTTATGTCTGAAAAGAAAACGTCCACGAGCTGTCCTACTATAAAAGTGAACTGTTCACACGCAAGTGATCCCCTCAAAGCCCTCCTGTAATTCACGCTCAAACTATTTTTAAAACATGAATTTGGAGAATTTGCTGATTGTATGGATGTAAATGTTCTGACACAGTTATATACTAATCATTTTCTGTCGTGGCTTTCTATAAAAAAATAAACAGGTTATTTACAGGATTTGTATATATTTTATACATTTATAGAGCATGTATTTGTAGGCTTGATCCTTTCATAAGGATCAAGGATTTGTAACGTGTCCTTAATCATTCAGACGTTGCAGTCTTTGCCCCCATTCCTTGTTTCTTCTCCTTCGTATATTAAGCAGGTGTGTAAGGAGTGGTATCTTGTGAACACGTGGGGACGATCTGAGTCTGGTCCTCAAAAGATGCATGGGTTGAGGGGTGCCTGGGTAGCTCAGTCAGTTGAGCATCCGACTTCGGCTCAGGTCATGATCTCATGGCCCATGGGTTCAAGCCCCTTGCAGGGCTCTGTGCTGATAGCTCAGAGCCTGGAGCCTGCTTCGGATTCTGTGTCTCCCTCTCTCTCTGCCCCTCCCCTGCTTGCACTCTGTCTCTCTCAAAATAAATGTTAAAAAAAAAAAAAAGTTAAAAAAAAGCTGTGTGGGTTGAAGGGACAGGCTACAGGCTGCATCGTGTTGACTTCCAGTCTCTTACACCTGTCACAGCCGTGATTCGCCGTGAGCGCTCAAGCAAGGGCTAATGGGGCCGAGACGGTACAGCCCGTCGCCTGGCACGTCCACCTTAAATAACTGCTTGGGCATCTCTGATACAGAAAGCGGATTCTGAGGCGGAGCGTCAGCACGAGCAGGGTGAGAGTCTTGTCATGCCTGGCTTGGAGCCAGCAAAGGTCCTGGGGCCTGCTGGGTGCCACCTGTTTTTGCAACACAGATGTGCCACCTTGATTGTACTTCAGGATGAAATTAGAAGTCCATCATATTTCCTCACCCCTCTTGGCCAGGAGTGAAGAGGTGGCAGACCCGGAGCTTAGAACCCAGGTACGGTCTGCTCTTGTCACTTTCTAGTCATCTGGCCTTCGGCAGGTTACTTAATAATTCTTTTCTCACATCTTTTTTTTTTTAAGTTTATTATTTTGAGAGTAAGAGCACAAGTGGGGAAGAGGTAGAGAGGGGGGAGAGAGAGAATCCCAGGCAGACTCTGCACTGTTAGCACAGAACTTGATGCGGGGCTCGAACTCACAAACCATGAGATCATGACCTAAGCTGCAGTCGGACACTTAACCGACTGAGTCACCCATGTGCCCCTCCTCTCCTTAGACCTTGAGGATGAGGATTATGATAATAACTGTGTCTCAAAGTTGTTCTGGTTAAAGGAACTAATGATGCATGTTAAAAAAGCAAAACAGACCCAACGTCTGTTAAATAAGTATCTGATCAGTAAGTACCTGTTAAATAAGTATCTGCTAGATAAATATGTTAAATAAGTCTCTGTTAAATAAGTGTTGAAGTAACACAGTACCCCCGCCCCCGCAGGCAGGACGTGGCTTTTGTGTGTTGCTTATCTCTGTCCTACTACATGAAAATTTGATTGAAAGCACTTACATACAGAGTGAGTACATCTGCATAAAATGGCCTGGGGGGTTAGAAAGGTGCAAGCAGACCAGTGGAAAGGACCTGGGGAAGGGCTGGGGCCTGGAAAGAAGCACAATAAATTGTGACTTTACATCAGGCTGTGGTGGTACAGGCTGTGGTGGTACATTAGGCTGTGGCAAGCCTAAGCCCCCTAACAAGGTCAGGTTTGCTCAGAACTCATTCTTTAATGAATAACTCACCCACAGTCCCAGTGATGTAATGGAGAGCTTTACTTGAAAGGTTGGCAAATTGAAAAAGGGATCCAAAACCCAACAGACCGTTAGTTAAAATGTTACTTTTTTTTTTTTTTGGAAACAAGAGTACAGATAGTACCACAAATAAAAAATGCAAAAAACACTGCATATGAACTTTCAGACCATTGACAATTGTTAAGAACGGAACTAATTAATTTTGAGGTATTTTATAACATGGGTTGGGTATTTGAAGAGTGAAAAAAAACCATCCTACATACACATATGAATTCAGTAATGACTCAATCTTTTCTATTATGTTCTGAGAAACTGACATTTAAAACAGCAACATTTTATTAATAAAATATCCAAGGTAAAGTTTATACTGAGGGAATGGTGTTTAAAGTTCTAAAAGAATCATTTGATAGCAACATGCTTACAATGGCTCACAGCTGCATCTGGTGCAGGTGCCTCTGGAAAATGTATTTAGCATGGGCCTCGCTATATTTTTATAATTCTAAACTTATTTCTATATGAAAAATAACCGGTCTACTGTTAAGATTTCACTGATTCCACTAATTCAATCTTAAGCATACTAACAGAATTTTATAATAAATCACTTCCAGTGCGACAATGTATTTAAGAAAGGTATAAAAAAAAGTCTTAATTCGAACCCAAACTGGCTATAAGTTTTAAAAAATTCACTTAAAAGTTAGTTGAAAAAAATACACTTAACCACTAGAGGACTGTTCTGAAGAAAAAAACGTTTTATAACTTCAATGACACATTAATTTTAAGCAGCAGAAGTCTTAAACACCTTTGTACGCTTCGAAATACTGTTGGCGATTTTTGTTTTTCAGTACTGAATTAGGTGCTATTAAAGAGACCCTTGTTCTTTGAATCCACTTCCTTGTTATTGTGGGAAATATTGTAGGGCAAGAGCATTTGAATCCTGTGGGCGGATTACTGAAATCCTGTTGGCGTCTGGACCTTCTGACTCTGGGGCTGTGGTCACACATCTGAAGAGTCACTCCAATCAGTCACAGTTACTAAGCTGCTTTTCAGTGTACTTGATTCATCCTGAAGCCCTGTGGAGGGGAAGAGAGGCCTCAGCAGTCAAACAAGCACATTGATGAGCCCGTAAAGATGCGTAACTGCGGTGTCTGAGTCAGGTCACCTATCCCCACGCCCCAACGCCCGCAGGCTGTGGAGGAGGCCATGGAAGAGCCACGTCTCCAGGACACCCTCACTGGACCCTCACGTGGGGGCTTCCACTCAGCGTCTCTCCTTCCCTGCACTCAGCACAGGGTCTGGATCTGAGAATGTTTTGTCACTGTTCCGGACTCTTGAGAGGTAGGCGTAAAAAAAGAATAAAATAATAAGCCAAGTAGGAATTAAATGGTAAAAAAAAAAAAGGATTTTCTAGGGTACATGGGCTTCAATATGATGTTAAGAAGTGTGTTGAGCTACTAAAGTAGTGAGTGCAGAGATCTCCACTGGAGTGTCATCTACACGTGTTTCCTTTGAGGGGCGGGAGCTCATGCCTCGGGGAGAAGAGAAAGGGAAGGTATTCGGAGCATCATCTTGGCCCCACGTACACACAGTCACTGTGATGTCCACACGGTCGTCAGCTTGGGACCGTCAGCATCAACCTTCAGACAGCACAGATCCCTGGTGACGGGCACAGTGCGGAAGTGAAGGCACGGCCCCCACTCGGGAGGAGACAAGGGGTGACTCGCAGGGCACACCTAGCAGTGGCTCCTCTTAGCGTCTTACAGAGTGCGGTGGCAACAGAGCCTGATGAAAATGGAATTAATGGATGGGGAATGTCTGCATGAATTAGAGTTACAGACCGGGCCCTGGAGACCCGGCAGAGGGGTCATGAGAGGTCAGTGGGGGGAGAAAAGGAGCCAACCCCCCAGCTGTCTGAGCAGGGTCTCAACGGTTCATGTCTCCAGGTGGAGAGCCTGGGCACTAGCGGAACCCACTCCTCAGCTGCGGGGGGTCCTCCACGCACCACACGGACCAGAGGCAGGCGCTGCAGGAGGCGAGGGGGGCACAGAGAAGCCCTTCTGTGCCCCGTGGCTCTCACCATGTGCAAGAATTTCTTTGATTAAAATAATATAGATTACATTTTATAATTCTAAAAATTAAACACATATTGAGACTTAAGTTCCTGGACTTAGCCAGACGCTAGATCTCATCCCAGAACAATGTCAACTCAGGGTTTCATTTGTAATTCATCCCACTGGCTACGATGTTGCAAGAGAAATCTTTCTTCAAAGAAAATAAAGAAAAACCTTTGATATGGGCACAGTTTAAGACAGAAAGACTGCCAGCAGAATGGCCCCACTCAGGTGTGTGGTCAGAAATTCTAATTTCTGAGAGGCGTCTGCATGAAGCGTGAATATTCGTATGGGCGTTCTCAGAAATAACATTAAAATTAAAGTCATAAAATTGAAATCCGAAGATTAGGTCCAAATCAAATAAATATATACAGATCAGAAACTGTGCACGTTTAGTCTTTTAAAATAATATAAAGCATCAAGATATTTGTATGATATATTAACAAAGCTTAATTAGATATTTATAAGGAGGGAAGACAAATAATTGGAAAATGGACCGAGTTCCTACAAGACACTAAAGCGGCAAACCTTCTCCCTTTGGCCCCTTGAGATTAGATGCGGCCCAGGCATTTGGCACTTGAGTAGAATTTGGCTCATTTTTCAAAGGTAGAGGTTCCTTCTGTTCTTTCCCAGTATTTTTCCCCAAAGATTTTTCTTCCTCTAAGGATGATATGTCCCAGTCATCATCCTCCACATCTGCGCACTAAAAGAAATGAAGAGTAATGAACGTTTCGTAAAGACGTGGCACCCGTTAGTGCCCCTTGGTTCTGTGGGCTAGACTGAGCTGCTGACACAGAATGATCTGAATTTGGGGAATCTCGGAGGATCGCCCATCTGGTCATTTCTGGAAGGCAATGAAAGGAACTTGGAAAGCTATGTTTTGAAAGCAGACGGAATCACCTCTTTTGTTGTGTTTTTGTTTTTTGTTTGCCATGGAGATGTATGTGTCTTACCCACTCTACCAACCATGAGTTTTGAAAATCCCAGAAACACTACACTGCAGTAGTAAAGTAAGGGTGCTTCCCAGGTAGGAACTAGGTAGGGTCTGGGGCTCTTAACCTCTGTGATATTGTGACATTGAACTGTAGGAGACATCACACATGGGCTCTGCAGAAAAGGCCCCAACTGAAGGAGCACACATTTCTACGAAGACACATTAGCTTTCACTTGCTTGAGTGATGACTTTTTGTCACTTTGGGCTTGTACAACACAAATAACACTAATAAAAGTAGTTTGACAAAATGCTCTGGG